GTTGATGGTTAGAGGTTTGATCTTTTGTCAAAATATGACTTGTTTTTTAAAATATAGAAATACACTTTATCATTCAAGTTAAATGCCAAAATAGATTTGATGACTACACCCCTACTCCACTTTCATTAAGGGCTCCAAATGACCCATGAGCACAACAAAAATTATGCCACTAAACTTGCTAAAGAATGGACAGAAATCAAAATAGTTCACATTTTATTTTCATTCACATAAACATTGATGCAATTTGCTGTTGTTTGCCAATCCATTCAAACAATTTTTATACCCCACGCAACTAGTTGCGGGAGGTATAATGTTTTTGACCCGTCCGTCAGTCAGTCAGTCAGTCCGTCAGTCATTCCTCTTTTTTTGTCAGCGCAACTCCTCATAAACCGCTGCAGAGAATTTCGTCAAACTTTGCAGGTATTTAGGACACAATGTGTAGATGTGCATATTACCAGGAAATTTCGATTCCATTATTTTTTCCGGGAATTTCCGCACTTTTTAACTTAGGCATTTGGCCATACCTTGAATATAGAGATGAACAGTTTGTCAGCGCAACTCCTCATAAACCGCTGCACAGAATTTCGTCAAACTTTGCAGGTATTTAGGACACAATGTGTAGATGTGCATATTACCAGGAAATTCCGATTCCATTATTTTTTCCGGGAATTTCCTCACTTTTAACTTAGGCATTTGGCCATACCTTGAATATAGGGATGAACAGTTTGTCAGCGCAACTCCTCATAAACCGCTGCACAGAATTTCGTCAAACTCTGCAGGTATTTAGGACACAATGTGTAGATGTGCATATTACCAGGAAATTCCGATTCCTTTATTTTTCCGGGAATTTCCACACTTTCCAACTTAGACTTTTTGGCCATACATGTATTTTAAATATAGAAATGAACAGTTTGTCAGAACCACTCCTCTTAAACTGTTGTATATAGTTTCTTTTATCCCAAAGAGTTTTGCCTATTATTCAAGCAAATTTCTCCCTCCCCCCCCCCCCAACCACTTCAAATTAATGTTTGGATTTGTATAATGCCAAGAAATTTTGATTCCATTGTTTATGTAGAAACTTCATTCCACATTTAAATGTCCTCATATGTAAGACATTTTAATGTGAAGATTTTTTTGCAATTATTGCCCTTTTTGATCTATACTATGTATTTAAAAAGCACTGTGCCTTTCATTATGTGTTTCACCGTCAAGTTTTGGGGGAGCGTGGGGTATGTGAGCTAGCTCACTTTTTCTTTCATTTTTGATCAATTTTACTAAGTGGAGCTTTAAAAGAAAATGTTTCCCATTTTAGATCTTTTATAAAACTTTTTTTACGAAGTAGTTCAACCATTTTCACAATGTCAGATGTCTTGTCAACTTCGGGTCTTGTTCGTTTGGATTTTACACTTTTTACAGCAGGGTTTAAACTTAACGCTCGCCCACGCGCCAAATGCGAGTAAAAATTCGTGTGGGCCCGTAAATTTCAAAACTTGTTCGCCCACATGGCGAATGAAAATTTCGGTAACCAACTTTTAATATCTAGATAATATTATCGGGTTCGTTATGTCAGAAATCAATGTGACCTAAACGCTCCATCAGATCCTTACTATTCGCTTACCGTAAAGCGTTGCAATGACCTACAGTAAATCAAGATGGCGAAGCAAACGCAGTTGTCTGCGTTTTTTAATATCGGAGAGATTCAGTCTCAGAAGCGAAGTAGATCAGCTGAATCACGAGATGAATATTATAAACAGTACGATAAAAAGAGGAAGAGACAGTTCAGAGAGTCATGGGTTATTGGGAGACCTTGGCTGACAGATACAGAAACAGGAATGATTTGCTCACACTGCGTTTCTTATCAAGGAAATGAAGGAACCTCGGCTTTTACTAAAGGTTGTACTCTTTACAAATTAGACTCTATCGTGAAACATGAACAGTCTAAGGTGCACAAAAACTGTGCTGAAATTCACAAACAGAAGACCAAGGAAATACCGGAGGCAGTCAAGATAATACAATCACTGAATAAAGATATTCATGATAGGTTGCGCATTATGTTTCGAAATTGTCACTCGATAATTATGAACAACAGGCCGTTAACAGACTATCTTTGGTTATGTGAATTAGACGAGATTAAAGGAATTGAGGTGGGACAAACTTACAGAAACATTATGTCGGCAAAATCCTTCATTAAAGCCATTTCTGATGATGAATTCAAGAAAGTGAAAATGGACATTCTGAATACTAATTATTTGTGTATCATAGGTGATGGTTCCACAGATTCATCAGTGAAAGAACAGGAAATGTGGTTTGCAAGAACATGTAGACATGGTAAAATACAGATGTATTTTTTAGGTGTACAAGAGACAGAAAAAGCAGATGCAAGTGGGATTCTTAATGGATTGAAGAGTTTGATTGAAACAAATTTAACCCTATCATCTGACTGCTTTTTAAGTAAAGTTGTTTCTTTGTCATGTGATGGAGCTAGTGTTATGGTTGGCTGTAGGAATGGTGTAGGGGCACTTTTAAAGAAAATTCAACCTTCCATTGTTGTAGTGCATTGCATGGCACACAGACTCGAACTTAGTTTGAAAGATGCAGCTAAAAAGCATGCCTTGTATGATAAAGTAGTTAGAGTATTACTGCAAGGAATTTATTTGTTCTATCATAACAGCAGTTTGAACCGCTCCATGCTTAAACGTTCCTTTGAAGCATTGAAGCAGGAGAAAGATAAACTCATGATTCCAACTCGATCGGGGGGAACTAGGTGGATTGGACATCAATTAGCTGCCATTGAACACTTGCTTTGTTCATACAAGTTTATTGTTTCCCACCTGGAACAGGTACTTATAATAAATCATGTTTAAAACAGAATTGATTTTAAGTAGTTACTGTGAGGGGCTAATGCTATAAGTGACCAAAATAACTCATTATTTTGAATTTTCATTTATGCTTTTGCATTTCAAAATCTCATTTTATTTATCAACAATTTACATCATACTGGGATTTTTGTGTTTACCAGGGTTTGCAACTGTCAAACATATTACTTAAAAAAAGAAAATTATTATATGAAGCTTTTATTAACAATAATGTTTAATTTTTTAAAATGATTACAGATTGGTACAACATCTGAGAGGGTTTCAAGTGACAGCAAGAGTAAAGCAAAAGCTTATCTATCTCTCTTGAAATCCCGAAATGTCATTGAATTCCTTCTGTTTTTGATGGACATTTTCACTCCTTTGAAAAGAATGTCTCTGGTTCTTCAAGACCGCAACACCACTCTGTCAAGTCTGTACTGTGTCCTAGCTTCTACTATCGAGGTCATCGAGAAGTATAAAACAAGGTGAGGAAATCTATTTACTTAAATATCAAATATTATTTAGTTATATTTATAATCATTTAGGAATAACTCAGAAGTAATTAAATTACACAACGTTATGGATTATCAGTGTTGGGCCTTACCAAAGCAAGATACAAGGAACATCAGAGTTTGAAGGAGTATCTTTGTCAGGACCTGTGAAATTTTCAAAGGAGGTGTTCATCAAGTCAGTGGTTGGAAGTCTTGAAACTCGTTTTAGAGATTTCAGAGATGCAGAAAATATTGTTAGAGCTACCAGGATAGCAGATCTTAGATCTTGGCCAGTTACTTGGGATGACTTGAAAGGTTTACTTACACATGTTTTTTTTTTTTCAGGTTCTTATTTTGTTTTCCACTGTGCAGCTTGAATGAATTTTTTACTTACTTTTCAGTTAAAGTTTTACCCTGTTGTTTTTTTGTTGATGTTCTGCATTGATAAATATATCAGTGTTCATGTTGGAAAATTTCACTTACTTTTCAGTTTTATTTATAGTTGTTTTTTTATATGTTCTGTCTTGATAAATATACCAGTGTACTTCATGTTGGACAAATGTAAAAATAAAATAAATAAAAATTTTCAAAATAATTAAAAAATATGTTTCAATCTTCATGATATACTAAATAATTTTATGCAAAGAAATAGTCTTATTTGTGTGAACAACAATCATCATTTTTTAAATACAATTCTAAAGTATTTAATTATGAGTTATAAATAGTTGGCAATATATTTTTGTAGTTTGGGGAGATAAGGAAGTTGATGATCTGACCTCTCACTTCTCTGATGTCTTGGAGGAATCTGGGGTGAAGATTGAAGATGTAGTAACAGAGTGGACTCTTTTAAAGAAAGAAGTTCAGAACAGGTACATTTAATGTAGGATTTGTGCTGAGTTATTCAACTTATATATTTTAGTTTGGTTAACAGAAAATTTCTGGAACATTCTGCATGTGTGTATTATTATTATTATTATTTTTTAATTATTTCAGGCACATGAGCAATTATGGAGAAAAGGCCTCTTGGGAAGTGATCAACAATGAACTGAGAGAAAATCTCCCAAATATTCTGGAACTTATAGATTTAATTTTGTCACTCTCACCTTCCAGTGCTGAGGCTGAGAGAGGATTTTCTCAGCTTAAGTTGATCAAGACAAATCTAAGGAGTAAGATGGGAAATGAACTACTTAACCAGAGCATGATTATAAAACTACATTCCCCATCAATAACAAATTTCAATCCTGATGATGCCATCACTGTATGGAATACAGCATCCCTTAGGGTCAGAAGGCCCTTATGTACTCCTTTAGGCAAAAGAAAAACAGACTCTGAAAGCATTGATCAGGAAACAAATGAAGATGAAGTTGAAGTTGAAAGTGATGCAGATCTTGTCAGTGTGACTGTTGTAGAGCCTCTTCAGACTGATGAACTTGTTGGAGAAGACTCTGACACTGAAATTGAATCTATTCAAGACATACTGGACAGTGTTGAGATTGAACAAGAACTAGAAATAGAATATTCATAATGAGCAAGAACTAGTAATAGAATATTCAAAATATGTTGTTTGTGATTTATTTTTACACAAATTAAATTTTGCACAATTAATTGGTGTGTGGGCTAATAAATTTGGCTGTGGGCCCCCAAATTTGAAAATTTAGGGGCCCACATTGCTAGTGAAAATTTGAGTTAAGTTTAAACCCTGTACAGTCCGTTGTACATTTTCCATAATAGCCTCCACAACCTGGGTTGTCATGCAAATATTTTGAGCTGACTGGAAAGATTTATTGGATCCCTGAGTATTGAGTTGTCGTTTAATGTTTCCAATTTGCAATTCTACGCAATTGTCATTTGGAATGTTATTCTGAGGACCTCCCTTCAAATTCACAGTCATATTCCACTTGTACTCCACACTTTCAGCTGGAGTCAAAACAGCATCAATGTATGCTATCATTCTCCAAAGCCAAATGGCATATTTAGTATGGTGAAGTGAGGATGCAAATAACCATTCAAAATATGCATTTCTGGCAATTCTATCACCATCTCCCATTTTGTAAGAATCAATTGTGTCTCTAAGAATTAGTGACATTTGGAGAAAACAATGCACAGGATTTATTTTCATTTCAAATGATGAAGAATCTGAGAAAACAAACCCATGTTTCTTTTGCAAATGTTTTTTGAACCAAGCAGCCTTGGAATATGCTTTCCCACAGACAGCACATGCATAACCCGCATCTGACAACATGGAGTTCAAAACTGTTTCATCTGCATCTAGTTTTGAAATTTCTTCATGAAGAAAGTTAAAGTTTGCAAAGTTATTTAGATTTAGACAATCCATGATTTTTCCTGCTTCTTGCATTATCCAACTTTTTATCTGACCATCATTTAGTAAAGTAAATAGAGGCGGACTTTTTGGTGCAGAAGAGAGGGTTTCCATTTCCATGTTGTCTAGAAACGTTCCAACGATGTAGGCATCTGTAACATCATCCACAAATTGTTGATGAGACCTATGGGATATGAAACATGTTAGTAATGCACTGAGTGACTGAATCTTTTTCATGCATTAATTTTCTCTTGTGCAGGGCATTAAAAAAATTATTTATTTAATTTTTTTCATATTTATCAGAAGATATACCAGTATATGATAATTCAAAACAAGAAATAATTTTCCTTCCTCATTTTTTTCATGTATACTGACAATCACCTTCGTAGAAAACTGCATTTAACAGAGAAAAAATGAAATACCTAAAGTTTGATGTCACATCTTCGGGCCCTGTGACATTCCTCCTGTTGACAAAATTCCGCAGATGATACAAGGTCCCCTTTTCTGAAGAACTTTCCTCAGTATAGAACAATTGATAAATACCCTGTGAAAATATTACCATATTACAATTCTATAGCTTGGTCAGGAATGTGTCTGAGAAAACTATTTAATATTTTCAAATTAACAATTTATAGAATAAATTTGATAATTCACAAAGAATTTAGTCCCAGTATCATTTATATTTATATTTTAGCTTTTTAATGTACTATTTAATACATTAGACTTATAAAGTACAGATAATTACAGCATCATTGTATCCATATTGTCAAGTAGAATAGTTGAGATTCATCTGTTAAGTAACACTCCACTGAAATGTAAATAACAAAAAAAATAAAACAAAAACACAATTAGAGGCCCAGGGGCCGAATTGCTGACCTGAGCACTGAAAAAAAGGAAAAACCAGTATAGTTTTCACTTTTGATAAGCTTAAATCCATAAGTGTTCACCACCTACCTCTAAAAGCGATAGGGGTATGAATTGAACAGAACTGGATCTACACTTAACCAGACAACAAACAAATTTCGATCAGAGAAGCTCATTTAAGCCTTCAGCTCAGGTGAGCTATAAACCAACACATGCAGAACACTGGACCAATGGTCAATAAATCAATAAATGAAACAGAGAAAAATAACGCTGCCTAGGTATCTGAAAGATTTTAATAAAAGTTGACGACTTGCATTCAGCAACTGTGATTACAGCTTCATGTACTACTGCAGTAATTTTTTTTTATATATAACCTAAATAAAATACCAAGGCAGATTTCAATAATCAAAAGCATACTTGAAAAATTAAACATGAAAAACCAAAAACAATAATATATTTACCAAAAGAAAATTCATTTCCCTATGGAGACCCTCTGGACGGTGAATGAGGCCAGTAAGTTTATCAACATCACACTTGTTGAGTTGCATGTTTTGCTATGCAGTGAAAGCCCTCTCATTTGTCAGCACATCTCCTCCAAACACAACTCTCTCGTACACTGTCTTGTCAGTCTGTCTCGCATGAGGAACTGCAAGCTCATGAATACGCTGCATGATGGAAATAATACCACTGGCGCTATTTTCACTGGCTTCAATTAGCTCATAATTCAAGAAAAGAGACTTTGTCTTTGTCAATTCTACAAACTTATGTGTAATATATGGTGGTATGACACGTTGTAAGGGTTTCAAAAAGTCAACATACTTCACAAGAACATGGCAAATATGATGCTTTATATTTTCTGCAAGTAATTCTTGTTGACTTGTGTCTGGAATCCAGTAGGCTTTTGGCAGGGTTAATATATCTTTCTCATGTCTGAGCTGAAAAATAAATATTACAAATGCACATATATATTGAATAAACATGAGAATATATTAAATACATCAATTAAATCACAAAAATACACACCTCAGAGATATCCATATTATCCACAGTTATCCTTTTCTGTTTCATCATAATTAGAAACCAATGAAGACTCTTCCGTTGCGATTCTGCTGTCATCATGGATGGGGTTATTGTTACATCAATGTTGTCCCCTAACATTTCTATTGATGGAATCTTCTTTTCAGAATCAGCAATGGTGACTCCGTCAGACAAATCTTTAAAATATATTAAACAGAACCAATTTATTTTATTTCAATGCAATTAAATGAATCGATTGATGTAGATTGCTACATTTATTAACCAGTAATTTGTACATATTCTTTTGAACTTATTTCTTACATGAACAATTTCTGTTGACTCACAGATACATACATGCACAAATGAATTGAAAAGTATGGTGTACAGCATGCACATCACTTTTAAGCTAAAATACACCCAGGTAGTGTTTTTTGTAGGGCTGTATCAATATTTGGATACGTATTGATATTCTATAATCATATCGCCACAATACACAGCCCTAGTTTTTTGGTGCTGCTATATAATTCACCACTTACCACCAAGACAGGAGTTCTGTGCCAAAGACTTTGAGCCCAGTTGATCTGCTATACCACAAGTAGTTTCTACACATTCACAAACTTCTGATTCATCTAAATAAATGCAGAAAAAATTACCTAACAGTCGAAAAGAATTTCAAAAGGACATTTATTATTATCAAATGTCATATTGAATTGAACTATCTGAACAAAAATTATATGAATTTTATAGCTTTCTGCATTAAGTGAAAGCATATTACCTTTGTAAAAAAGTTTTGATTCCTGTGTTAAGACTGATGACTTCAATAATAGTTCTGGACTTTCCTGATTTTTCTCGGCAAACACATTTTGAACTGTTTTTCTCGATGTGTCAGTGTCAGAGACTGAAATAAAAAATATATGTGTAAATATTAAAAGAATCATATAGTTTCCCTCAATTTTCAGCACTGATTGCTAAAAATTAATTATTTTAGAAAATAAATTTACCATCATGATTACACTGAGGTTCCTTCTCCATGGATTCAAATCTCAAAGATGAATTTTCACAACTTTTGACATATTCAGTAACTGTCAACTTGATTTTTTCTTCCTGTTCTGCAACAAGTTCTTTCTTCTTTCTTAGAACACTTCTGGGTGAAACACAAATACCAAAGTCGTGCATCAGCTGTAAACCCTGCAGTACATGTATTGTTTAAGTTAATTACAAAGCTTAAGTGCCTTCACAGAATCTTTTTTTTTCCAAGAGACTTTTTTTGTGCATGAAAAT